CTGTCTGCCTGGGGCCCCACATTTCCTAAATCCGCCCCTGGTCATTAAACAGATTAAATTATCCAGAAATAATGCAGACCTGTTAGTTCTCAACGTTCCTACAAAACTTGAACGCATCACCTCAACTGCTGAGACTGGATGAACCTAAACAGGAAGGAGATCTGCATCTGTCCAGGTGGAGGCCACGCCCACCAGCTGCTCCTGACCCGCTTCTAAAGCATCTTCTGTAAAATCATTTTAGCTGCAGTGAGTAAAGAATCATTTAATTAAAAAGTTTTATTAGAAATAATCAGATTTTCTACAAACAATAAGGCTGGTTTGGGTCGGGCAGCAGAACCCGCCCATCCTGATTGGCCGGCGCCCTCAGGTGGAGAGGACGGTGGCCACCACTTCCTTCAGCAGCTGGTTCAGAGCGCCGACCTTATCCTCCAGCGTGCGGTTCTTCTTCTCCGCCTGCTTCTGGCGGCGCTCGGTCACCTGCAGCGCCTTCATCAGCTGGGCGTTCTCCAGGTACAGGTCCTTCAGCAGGCCGCTGCTCTGGACGTTCTTCTCCACCTGAAGGAGAACGCAGGTCGGTGGAACGAAGGAGGAGTCCGGCGGTTTGAGGCCCGCAGAACCAGACTCACCTGCTCCTTCAGCTCCTGGACCTTGTCCTGCAGAACCAGACGCAGAGCCTTCAGCTGGACCTCCAGCTGGTCCGCCCGCCGCTGCAGCGCCGCCGTGGCCTTGTCGAACTGTTCCTGAAAGCAGCGCAGAGGTCAGAAGCAGAACCTGCTGAGGCGGACCGCCGGGTGGTTCTGAACCCACCTGCTTCATGCTGAGCTGGGTTCTCCTCAGCTTCACCTCCTCCTCCAGCTGCTGCTCCTTCTCCTAGAACCAGAACACGGTTCTGATCAGTCCTAACCAAAGAGAACAGATGGACTGAAACCCTCCCCGGTCCTTCTGGATCGTGGTTCTGACCCGGATCCTGACCTGGTCCTGGGCGTGCGCCCGAGCCGTCGCCGCTTCTAATCTGGACCTGAGCTTCTGCTGCTGCTGAACTTCCTGGACCTGCAGACCAGCCAGCTGATCACAACAATTCAGGCCATTTTTGTTCTGACCGCTAAAACGTTTCTAAGGAAGCGGCTGATTGGGTGGAGTCCTGCCTGCGGGTGGAGAAGCTCCGCCCACTCAGCCATCACCCGCCCTGTGAGGTACCTGCTGTCGGAGCTCCTGGTTCTGGACCAGGAGTCTCCGGGTCTCATCTTGGAGGTTCTGCTGAAGCTCCTCCTTCTCCTCCATCAGCCTCCTGACATCTGCTTGCGTCTCCTCCACCTGCACCATCAGAACCTGATCAGAACCCGGTCAGAGCCGGGCAGGGTGGGGCGGCGTCAGGTGAGCTCACCTTACTGAGCGCCTCACCCAGCTTCCTGTGGAGCTGGGTCACCTCCTGGGCGTGGCCTAGTTTGTCCTGGGTGGAGGCGAGCAGCTGGGAGCGCAGCAGCTCTGCCTCCGCCTGCAGAGACACCACCTGCTGCTGCAGCTGCTCCACCTGCTGCTGCAGCTGCTCCACCTGCTGCTGCAGCTGCTCCACTTGCTCCACCTGCTGCTGCAGCTGCTCCACCTGCTGCTGCAGCTGCTCCACCTGCTGCTGCAGCTGCTCCACCTGCAGGAGAACCAGCAAAGATGTGACTACACTCTAGGACCTGCAGGGGGAGCCGTTTGGACCAGATGGCTCGGTTCTGACCTGTTGGGTCCGGTTCTCTGTTTCCCTCTGCAGCTCCTGCTTCTCCTGCTCCACCTTCTGCAGCTTCATCATCAGCCGTCTAAGCTCCGCCTCCTGCTGTGATTGGCTGCCCAGCTGAGGAGCAGCCAGCAGGTCAGTGAACAGAACCAGCGGCTGCAGAAACGGACCAACAGACGGATTCTTACCTTCTCCCTGAAGGAGATCAGCTCCTCCTGCAGCTTCACCATCTCCTCCTGCAGCTTCACCTTCTCCTCCTGCAGCTGCTGCACCTGAAACCGTCCACCCGTCAGCTCCAACATTTCTGGTTCTGAACTCGGTCCAAACGGAACTTGTCTGACTTACTGCAGCTCCCTCCTCCTCTTGCTTCTTAGTAACCGTTGCCAGGCGCTCCTGGAGCATCCGGACCGACTCCTGCTCTCCATGGAGACGGCTGCTGAGCTCACCGTTCTCGCTGCTGAGCTGCAGGTTCCTGCTGCTCAGCTCCAGAACCTCCTCCCGGTAGCTGGAGTTCTGCAGGAGTAAAAACGGGTCAGGCGTCTGGAATTTCATCTGGACGAACACCAAGTAGAATCAGAACTTTCTAGAAGATGATTCCAGGTGGAATCTTCTGTTCAGGAACCATTCAACTGACAGGGCTTTTATTTTGAAAACTTGGCCTCCACTGTGAAACTACTTCCTTCTATGGAGATCAGGTCCAAACAGGAACCCTAAAACCAAGCGGAATATTTTCTGAGGAACAGACTGATCATCTGGACCCGGATGGAGCCCAGAAAGTTCTCTGGGTCAAAGGCTGCCGTGAGGTCCAACTAAAGCAGAACCACGCTGTGCTTCTCTGAAGCAGGTCCAGCTCAACTGGTGCTGCTATTTATGAGGCTGTGAGTCATGAAGCAGCTGGACCACGGTCTGAGTTCTGATGGTTCTACTGGGCCCAGTTAATCCTGGTTAGCTACGGCTAGCTGCCGCTGTGCTTCAGTTAAACCCTGAAGGTCTGCTGCAGAACCGGACCTCTCTGTGCAGACGCTCCTCCTCCTCTCTGCTCCGCTCCCGGTCCAGTTCCACCTCCTGCAGCCTCCTCCTGCAAGGAGAACACCAGAGTCTGGGTTCAAGCTCCTCCAGCGAAACGTCAGCAGAACAGGTTCTGACCCGCAGCCGGACTCACCTTTTCTTCTCAGCCTCGTCCTCCAGGTTCTGGACCTCCTGCTGCAGAACCTTCAGCCGTTCCTGCAGAGCTGCGTTTTCCGATCGGACCTCCTCCAGCTGAGTCCTGTAGGAGAAAAACCCACACAGACCGGACTGAACCAGAATCAGAACCCAGGTTCTGGATGATCAGATGTCAGGATTAGTGATTCACATGCAGAGGCGGATGGAGCTACAGGAGGTCAGGCTGTTAGAACAGAACCGGGTCCATGCAGGGGGAATGGAAGAGATGCTGAGCTCTGATTGGTTCATTCAGTTAGAGATGCTGCGCTCTGATTGGTTCATTCAGTTAGAGATGCTGCGCTCTGATTGGTTCATTCAGTTAGAGATGCTGCGCTCTGATTGGTTCATACAGTTAGAGATGCTGCGCTGCGATTGGTTCATTCAGTTAGAGATGCTGCGCTCTGATTGGTTCATACAGTTAGAGATGCTGCGCTGCGATTGGTTCATTCAGTTAGAGATGCTGCGCTGCGATTGGTTCATTCAGTTAGAGATGATGCACTCTGATTGGCCGGTTCGGCGAGTGTCTGGGTCCGCCTCACAAACCTGTGAGGACCGGCCGCCTCGGACCCGTCCTCCAGGTCCAGAACCAGGTTCTCCAGCTCCATCAGCTGCTGGGCCAGCCTCCCCTTCTGGCGCTCAAAGTCCTCCTTGGTGCTGCTCAGCTGGTTCTGAGAGTTCTGCAGGGCCCGCTGCAGAAGCACCACCTGCTCCGAGGTCCCGTCTGCAGCCTCCACCCGCAGCCTCTCCGCCTGGCTGGTTCTGGAGTTGAGCTGGCGCCGCAGGTCCAGAACCAGGTCGGCGGTGTCGTTGAGCTGCTGGCTGAGGCCTCGGAGGTGCTCCCTCAGGGAGGAGATCTCCTCCTCCATCTCCACGATCTGAGCAGACAGCTGGTCCACCAGACGCATGTAGGTTCTGTTCTCCTGGTTCAGGCGGCTCACCTCCTCCTGCTCCTCCAGCAGACTGGACCGGAGATGTAAGGCCCGGTTCTGCTCCTCCTGCAGTGCAGCCTCAGTGCTCCTCCTCTGGTCCAGCTGGAGCTGCAGCGTGTCCACGACCACGGCCTGCTCTTTCAGGTCCTGGGTCAGCCGGTCCCGGTCCTGGGTCAGCCGGTCCCGGTCCTGGGTCAGCCGGTCCCGGTCCTGGGTCAGCCGGTCCCGGTCCGTCTTTAAGGAGTCCAGTTCAGCCGTCAGTCTGGAAATGGACTCCGTTCTGCTCCTCAGAACCTCCTGAAGCTTCTCCAGCTCAGCCCTGAGGAGGGCGACTGTCTGCAGCGTGGGGGAGGAGCTTCGCTCTCTAAGCTCCGCCCTCAGATGCTCCACCTGAAGCTGGAGCTCCGCCCCCTCCTCCCTCACTTGCTGCAGCTCCTCCTGCATGCAGCTCCTCTCAGAGACCAGACGTCTTTTCAGAACCTCTAGAGAATCCCTGGAGACGATGCTCTCCTCCAGCCGGTTCTCCAGGTCCGAACACCTGGTCCTGGAAGCTTCCAGAACCTCCTCCAGTCCAGCCTGGGCCTCCTGGAGGCTGCAGAGCTGCTCCTTCAGGTTCTTCCTCTCCTGGAGGAGGCGGCGCCGAGCCTCGGCCTGTCGATTCTGGCTCTCCTTCCTGCTCACAGAGCTGCTTTCTTACCTCGGGTCCAATAAAAACCTGGTTGTGGTTCTGACAGAACCTCCTGCCACCCACCTGACGCGCATCAGCTCCTGGTCCATCCTGAGCTTTAGCTCCGCCTCCAGCTGCTCCTTCTCGCCGCTCAGCTTCTGGACCAGGTTGCTGATCTCTGTGGCGTAGTTCTGCTCCAGCTCGGCGCGCTCCCGCTGCATCCTGGGAGGGGAGAACGGTTAGAACGGATCGGCGGCAGAACTCGACGGGAGACGGGTCGGTCCGGACCTGCGCTCCACCTCGCCGCTCCTCCCTCCTCCCTGCTGGACCTGGACCTGCAGTCTGGCCACCGTCTCCTTCAGCTGCTTCACCTGCTGCTCCAGCTGGACCTTCTGCTCCTCCAGCTCACTGATCTCCAGCTGAGGAGGAACCAACAGCTCAGTCGGACCCACCAGCACCAGAACCTCTGCAGCTGCAGGCTCCTCCTCCTCCTCCTCACCTTGAAGGCCTGGGAGATGTCCTTCCTCTCCACCTCCATGTTCTGCTTCATCATGTCCAGCTGCCTCTCATAGTAGTTCCCCTGAGGAAGAGGAGCAGGTGCTGAAGGTTTTGCTGA